GGACTTGGCCTATTTTCTATCCAAAACTGTGCAGTCAGCCTCCACATTCTCTCAGTAATCTCCCTAAAACCTGCTTAAGGAGAGGGACTGGCTCTTCAGCCCCCACCCGCCCATTCTTTATCACTGCCACAAAAATATGCACAAGGACGCTTTGCTCCCTCGTGTGGGAGCCCACAGGTCTCTGCCCTGTCACCCAGTGCTCCCGTCAGCAGAGCAGCCCAGTGCTGGGTGGCCTGTCACTGCCCTCCTTTATCCCTGCCGTGCCCTCTGGGACTCAGCCCTGCTCCTCTCCGCAGCCCCTCCATTCAGCACGCCTGCTGCTCCTCTAAGGTCCCATCCTTCCTGAATTCCAAGCCGTCCCCCAACTCCTTTAGCCAGGTCTTTGTCGATGGGTACCCAGGACTTGTTTAGCCAGGGATGGTAAGACACACAGACATAGAAGAAGTTTACTCACATTCTTACACCATTCCACGCACGGCCACCCAGAGAAGCACCAGGGCCCAACTCGAGGCTGTGGGCAGGGGGACTATGAGCAAGAGCCTTTCTTGTGGTTTCCACAGCAATGAGTGAAACAGGGAAAGCAACCTTAAGATCAACTAGTTTGAATAATCCCAGGCTCTGGGGCGTGAGGCTGTCCCCAGGTGTCTGATCCTGGTCCCAGGGTAATTAGGACAAAGGACAAGTGGCTCAGAGTACAAAAGGTGGTCGGGGCCTCGGCTCCATTGTGGTTGGTTTGCATGTGACAGGTGTGCTGGCTCACAGACCGATGTTTGGATCCCTAGGAATTTGCTAGTCATGGAAGGAGCCGTCCCATCAGGGCCAATAAGGCCCCAAGACATAGGAGCCTTGCAGCAAGTATGCAGAATAAAAAGACATGACTAATAAAACCCCACAGTCTCCCAAGAATCCTAGAAGAACTGGTCTCAACATTTACCTGCAGAAAAAGCCAAGATTAGTGGCAGTGCAGCCACCTCTTCCAGGAAGCCTTCCTTGACCAACCCTTCCCTACCTCAGCCTTCATGGGTGAAATGCTCCTCCTTGTGCTCACACAAGAACTTTGCACTTGCTTCTACCGAGTCCGAGTGCACGTGGCTTCACAGATTGTGACGTACCTATCGCTTATTAGGTCAAGAATACTCTTAAGGATAAGGCCAGAATTTCACACAGTAAATAGAATTGTGAAGACTTGTGAGCTTTAGCTTTATGAATATTAGTTAGAAATCGTATTAAACCTTCCTCTTATCAATAAGTCACAGACATGTTCAGGGCTGAATGCTGAGGTCAGAGCAGGGTCATTGCCAGCCCTCACAGCATCTGTATGAACTCAAAAACGACGCTCCTTTTCAGAGCCAGAGGTGGCATGGAGGTTGAGGTGTTGGAGTCCCACATGCTGACTGCTGTTTGAATCCCAGACCTGGCATGTGTGCACGCAGACCCTGAAATCCCAGGAGGAGAACGGAGCAGAAGGCCATTCCCTGTAGAGGGTGACTGACCACTTTCCCTCTTTCTGTCTCTGTCTCTCTCTCTCTGGCAAGAGCATGTGCCCTATGGCAAAAACCTAAAAATAAATCAATATTTTAAAGATAACTGCTTTTTGAATTTAAAACAAAATATACCAGTCCACCTGACGTTTTACCACCTGAGACAGTACAAGCTGACTAGCCAACAAAGCTTCCCACTGCTGTGCACACCCACCCTCTCACCTGCCTCCCCAGCAGCGAGACCTCGGTTACAACGCCTAACAGATTTTCTTTCTTTTAAGAATTATTTCATTTTAGCTTTATTTATTCATTCATTTATTTTAATTTGACTAGAGCGGGACAGAGCAAGAGCAAGACAGCAAGGGGCAGGGGGGAAGGGGCAGAGTGAGAAAGCAAGTCACCAGGTCCGGGACTCAAACTGCGCTTGGCCATGTGGGAGTCCAACACCTTTAACCACCACACCACTTGCCAGCCCCTTAACAGACTTTCTGAACCCCAGTTTCCTCATCTCTAACTTGGAGTAAGAATATTTACTATCTAGTGTTACCCTGAGGAATAAACGCATGGTGGCTGTTCACAAGCGGATCAAGTAAGCAACGGCAGTAAGGATTACTATGGCTCCTGTCACCAGGAACCCAAGGGGCACCTTCTACTCACAGCTGTCTTGTTAGCTCCGTGTAGTGGAACGCTTCACTTCACAATTAGAACAGTTCTCTCAACTAAACACAGCAATCAGTGAAGATGAACAGCTTTCCAAACCAAGTACCCCCCTTGAAAACCAGAAAAGGCAATTTCTCCCTCTGAGGACTAGTCCCTTCACTGTCTAAGAGACATCATTTAAGGACCACGAGCCAGGCTCAAACTGCGCTTGGCCATGTGGGAGTCCAACACCTTTAACCACCACACCACTTGCCAGCCCCTTAACAGACTTTCTGAACCCCAGTTTCCTCATCTCTAACTTGGAGTAAGAATATTTACTATCTAGTGTTACCCTGAGGAATAAACGCATGGTGGCTGTTCACAAGCGGATCAAGTAAGCAACGGCAGTAAGGATTACTATGGCTCCTGTCACCAGGAACCCAAGGGGCACCTTCTACTCACAGCTGTCTTGTTAGCTCCGTGTAGTGGAACGCTTCACTTCACAATTAGAACAGTTCTCTCAACTAAACACAGCAATCAGTGAAGATGAACAGCTTTCCAAACCAAGTACCCCCCTTGAAAACCAGAAAAGGCAATTTCTCCCTCTGAGGACTAGTCCCTTCACTGTCTAAGAGACATCATTTAAGGACCACGAGCCAGGTACTATGCAAGTCCAGGCGAGGACAAAGGTGTAGAACAGACGCAGCCTCCCGTACTATGAATACAGGGCTGCTGTAAGCACCACAAACGAGGGTCTTAAATAGAAATTGATCCTCTCACAGTTCCAAAGGCCAGAAGTCCAGAACTTAGGTGTCAAGGCTGCGCTCTCTCCACAGTCTCTAGGAAAGAGTCCTGCTCGCCTCCTCCGGCCTCTGGTGGTTCCCAGGCAGTCTTCAGCATTCCTCGACTTGTGGTTGCATCACTCCTTCTGCCTCCAGCATCACGTGGCCATCCTCCCCATGCACCTCCCATGGAGTTCTCTTCTCTGGCGTGGTGTCCAAATTTCCCTCATCTGATAGGAACACCAGCCATGGGGTTATGGCCTACCCTAATCCGGCATGCCCTCCTACAAAAGCCCATTTCCAGAAAAGCTCATCGTCACACTTAATGAGGATTACAACTTCAATATACTGTTTTGGCTTCGACAAATCAATACCACTATACTCTTTCGTGACATATTCTCCAACTAACCAGAAGAGAAAAATACATTCACAACTAACTTGTGATACTTCGAAGAAAAATATTTAGAAAAGGTTTTGGTACCCATATCTCAATAATTTACGCGGTTCTTTTTCATTCTGTCTGCTTTCTTCCCACTCAACACTCTTACATCACATGTACCTCCAGCCATGGCTAGCAGTTATGGTACTTTTCATCCACTCTACTGGTCTTATTTCTTCCCTCAACACTCTCTCTTATGTCAGAAATACTTTCAGCCATGGCTCGCAATGGCACCTCTGTGTTCTTAAAGAATGCCAACCAAGGTCACTGGGAAAATCAAGACAAAGAAAATCAAGACAAAGAAAAGCTGTTCATATCTCCCTTCCTGCCAATGTTACTTTGAAAAGTAACTACCCGTGAATTCTGTGTATTAAAAAGCATCTCAAATAAGTGCAATCAAAAGATACTAAAAATCTATTTGCAAAGCAACAAAAATGTCAACTGTTAATGCCGGTCATGAGATTTGAGTCCCAGATCCATTGACTGAAAAAATATGGTGGGTGTGTGTGTTTGCGTATGTGCCCAAAATCTTGAAGGAAGGGAGAAATGGAGGGGAAAGGATTGCAGCATGACTTTGCCCTCTAGAAGGTGCCTTCTCATTCTCTCTGGCAAGTACATGTGCCTTCTGGGAAAAAGTTTTAGACTGTCAACTCTTTTTATTTATTTTTTTCTTTTCTTTTTTCTTTTTCTTTTTTTTTTTGGAGAGGTTTTTGCTACAGGGCATGTGCACTCACCAGAAAGACAGAGAGAGACAGAAAGTGGGAAATCACCCCACAGGGGGATGGCCACGCCGCAATCCCTTTTCTTCCATTCTCCTCTCGGGATCTTGGGCACACACGCACATGCACCTGGCATGAGTTTAAGCCACCGGGTTTGGGACTCGAACCGCAGTCGACTACATGGGAGTCCAGCAACATAGCCATTATGCTAACTGCTGGTCCCAACTCTTTTTATTTTTTTAAGAGAGAGATTTTTGCTATAGGGTTTGTGCACTTGACAGAGAGACAGTGAGAAATCATCCCCTACAGAGGTCAGCCACGCCGCAATCCCTTCTCCTCCATTCTCTTACCAGGATTTTGGACATGCACACATACGCGCCTGATGTGAGTTTTAAGCCCCTGAGTCTGGGACTGGGACTGTGGTCAACCACATGGTTGACATGCCATCTACTGCTCCCATTTTTAAAAAATGTCAGCTCTTAGACTCTGTCATAGTGACTGTGGCAGAGACAGTGTGATGTGTTTGAGTTTTTATTACCGCAGCCTGCAGCACACTAAGACACACTGTATTTCCAGGTTCCCTCACTGTTACCACTGTTAGGTGGAGTGACACTAATCTGGACTAAGAAATGTAGTTGAACTAATATACACCTCAGCAATCTTTCATCTCTAATCAGTGCGGAGAACCCAGTGAAGAATCCCAAAGCCTCGAGAAGTGGAGAATTTCCTCTACAAAACAAACACACAAACCAAAACACCTGGGCCTTTCAATAACTGTTGGAGCATGGGAGACCTGTACCCATAGACACAGACCTACTTTGAGCTGTGACAGGGTTGAGAACATAACTATCAGGGAATAAACTATTGGAATTGGAGGATCACTTTGTACACAAATTAGCATACCCTAAACAGGTATGGTCTTCATGGAAGACACAATGGTTAGGCCCTGAATCACGACCAGTGGTTCATTGTAGCTGTTGCTTTCAAACAGAAGCCAAGTGATGTTTTCCGTATGGTCCATTGGCTATTCCCTATCCCATGGGAATGGCCAATTCAGTTGGATTGTGTTTCTACATAATCTAGAATGTAATGTCATTGTTTGTTTCACAGAGCAATTAAGCTATGTTAGGTTTAAGAATCAGAGGTTTATTCTATGGGGATAGGGGCTTAGCCAAAGTAATCTAAGGGGTTTTCAAAAAGTTCATAGCAGATGCGTTACTGAAAAACTATGTGTGGATTTCAATTTTGTTTTTGCACCAAAATAAATTTGTACTCATTTGTTGTAAATAAATAAAGAAGAGATGATGATACGGATTGAAGTCAAAGGATGTAGTTAATTAGAGAAAATAGGACCAGCATTGTAGAGTTCAGACTTACCTGGGATCTCATACTGGGGCGGGGGGAGGGGTAGCCGTAGCAAAGGCAGAGAAACTGAAAAGTTCTGCATGTGGAAAAGGAAAACAGTCCACCCAATGGGGAGGTGATGGATATGGAGCAGGTGGAGTGAATAGTGATAAGTATCTTAATCCACAAAGACTCAGTGGCTCTCAGTCTTAAGAGTCAGAGAAAGCAAGCAGAGAAGGAGGGACTTAATGCAACAGTCAAGAGAGAGCCATTGACTATGGGTAGAGAAGTACATGACTTGACAGATCATTGCAGCCAGAAGTCAGCAGAGGAGGCCAGGTGTGTCACAGGCCCCGGAGGGGGAAGAGTAAAGCACAGAGGCGATGACAGCACTAGCTTTGTCTTTGGGCACCTGCTATGTGCCAAGTAGTGCATATGCATCTTAATTCTCCAAAGCACATGAACTAGGAGTAGGATTCTCTGGAACGGTTGAGGTAACCAAAGCAAAAGAAATGCAAGGTGACTATGTGAATGAACGCCTGAGCTGGGACTAAACCTCCGGCATCCGGCTCCACACCTTCTCCCTTAAATACTATGTAGAGACACAAGTAGTTTAAAGGGGGAGATCCAGGCACCCTAACAAGCTGATCTTGCTTTAACCCTCCACAGCCTATACCTTTCTTTCATTCACAAAGAGCCATGAGCGCGGGGGTGGTAAACTCTGGATCATTTTACTGCCTTCAGAACATCTGCCTGTGATCACCTGGTGCATCCTTTACAATAAACCATGGAAATGCAGCAGAAACATAAATTCTTTCCTGGTCAGGCTGCTCAAGGCTATACACACAGGTGCACCATTAACTCTGAGCAGGGCCTTGATGGGAGCAAGAATCTGAGTATAAAGCGGCCCAAGGGAGCGGAGTGCACTCAAATTAGAGAGAAAGTGCAGGAACACTCCTCTGGCCAGACAGGGAACGAATAAGCTGGAAACCTGGCTGAGAGTTACCCCGGAGGCTGTCTTAGGCTGTTGGAGGCTGTTGTTCTCAGCTCTGGCCGCACATCAAAAGCACCTGGAGAGCCTCTTTAAAAATACCAACACCCTGGTCTCCTGCTAGACCAGCTGAATCAGGATTTCTGGGAATGAGGCCCAGACTTTGCATGTTTGAAACTCTCCTTCAGGACTATAACGCAGGGTGAGAGCTGAGACTTATGCGCAATGCTGAGCAAAGAAGCTGCTCCTGTGACATTTGGGGACTCTTATCCAACAATGCGCATTTGGCCGAGATGCATCGAGCGTCTCTGAGTGCCAGAAACTATGCTGTACTGTGTCTTGGAGATGCAGAGATGAGTGACATGATCTCGTCCTCGAGGATTTTACTGTGAAATAGACAATTATAAGGGGCCATTGGGGTCAGTTCAACGTTAGGTCAGAACTGAGTACACAGCACCATGCAGGCACAAAAGGAAGCTTCAGTTATGAGGACTAGAGAGGACCTTGGAGGACGTCAACCCCTGAGTGTTAAAAGAGAAATAGAGGGACCAGCAGTTGGCATAATGGCTATGTCGCTGGTGGCTTAAACTCACGCTGGGCATGTGTGCGTGCGTGCCCAAGATCCCAAGAGGAAAAAGGATGAGAAGGGATTGCGGTATGGCCATCCCCTCTGAGGGGTGATTTCTCACTTTCTGTCTCACTCTCTCTCTCTTTCTGGCACGCACACACATCCTATAGCAGAAATATCTCCAGAAAAATAAAAGAGAGAGAAATAAAATCGAGCCGAGCGAACACACAGCTGAGGGAAGCATTCATAGCTGAGGGAAGAGTTTGTACAAAAGAAGTGCAACGTAAAGCACTAAGGCACATTAAAAAAAAAAATGCAGGCCAATGGAAGCATTTGACATATTTGCGAGGACCACACAGGAAGCTGTCATGGCAGCAGGCTAATTCAACAGGGCCTACATCTAGCAAAGAGTACTGGATTTCTGCTACGGGGTGGACAGCAGCTTTGACATGTGTCTGGAATTGAAGAATGAAAGTGTGGAGAAAACGTTGAGACTCCTAAATCTGAAGAATTTATGTTAGTATTATGTACACATGTCTTATATTGGCAGCAAGCAGCTAGTGCATGCTTGCCATGCATCAGGCCTTCTTCCATGTGCTCTACCTCCATTCAGTCATCGGACATGTATTTGTGGGCCATCTACTACTCTGAGTCGAGTGTGATTATAGGTGAGATAATCAAACAGTGATCGGTAAGAAGCTCTTCCCTTGTGGGGTTTATATTTTAATGGGGGAACACAATTAGCAAATAAATACTCAATTCGATGTTGATAGGTACAATAGCAACAACAAAACAAAGAAAGAAAATAGACAGTATTGGAGTGTCTGGTCTTTTGATTGTCAATTTGTCAAGGCTACAACCCTTTATTATTCAACAAATGTTTATCTAGGTGTTATTGTGAATATACTTTGTAAATGTGATTAAAGTTTGTAATAAGTTGACTTTAAGTGAAGGACATTACCCTGGCTAGTCTGGGTGGACCTCTTCCAATCAGTTGAAAGGCCTCAAGAGTGGACTGGCCCCATGGGTTGGTGGTTAAGGGAGCCAGATCTCACACGGCCCACTGCAGGTCGAGTCCTGGCCCTAGCAGCCCACACGTGTGTGTGCATGCCCCAAATCCCAACAGGGTGGATAAATGGAGGAGAGAGGATGGGAACGTGACAATGCCGTATTTGGGGAGTGCTTCCTCTTTCTTTCTCTCTGTCTGTCTGTCTCTGGCAAACACACATGCCTTCCGACAGAAAAGAGGAAAAAGCCTTTAAAGCAAAGTTGAGGCTTCCCTGAGGAAGGAGAACTTCCACCTGTGGACTAGAGCATCAGCCCTCTGGCTGTGAGTCCCCGTCTGCCAACAGCCTGCCTGAGAATTTCACGTTGCCTAGCCAGCCTAACAATGACACAAGCTTTGCGGTCAATCTCTGGATATATCTCCTACTGCTTCTGTCTTCTGGTTGGACGGAGGGAAGCTTCATTTTAAACGGAAGAGTCCAGATGGGCCTCAGTGAGAAAGAAGCATCTAAGACAAGCCTGAAGAAGATGCGTCGGGGCCAGCACAGAGGCTATGGCACTGGGTTCCTACACAACTGACCATAGTTTGAGCCCCAGACCCAGTGGCTTGATAATCATACTAGGTGTATGTACGTGCACGCCCAAAATCCCAAGAGGAGAATGGAGAAGAGACTTCAGGATGGCCATTGCCCCTGGGGAGGGTGATTTCTCACTTTCTCCTCTGTATCTCTCTTTTTTTTTCTTTTTTTATAAGATTTTATTAAAGATCTTGGGAACCAGCAGTTAGCGTAATGGCTATGTCGCTGGACTCCCACGTAGTCAACCACGGTTCGTGTCCCGGACCCGGTGGCTTAAAACTCACGCCGGGCGCGTGTGCGTGCATGCCCAAGATCCTGAGAGGAGAATGGAGGAGAAGGGATTGCGGCGTGACCATCCCCCCTGGGGGGTGATTTCTCGCTTTCTGTCTCTATGTCTCTCTCTGTCTGTCTGGTGAGCACATGCGCCCTACAGTGAAAATCTCTCAAAAAAAAATTTTTTTTTAAAAATTTAAAAAAAAGATTTTATTAAAGGTCTTTACATAGTAACACCCAGACTCCGGACGCAGCTGCCGAGACTCTCAACTCCAGAGTAGCCATCTTCAGCCAACTCCTGAGTGAGGAACTCATTCAGTTGAGCTTTGAAGATGCCATCGTGACAAACTTCTTATACTGCCATCTTGCCACCAGCACCACCAAAAGGAAAGCCTCTCTGTGTCTCTTTACCTCTCTCTGGAGAGTGCACACACCCTATGGCAAAAACAAAACAAAACCGAAAAAAGAATTTAAGTCAATGAGCAAATGAGTGAATGATAAAGGAAGAAGAAAGAGAATTCCAGCAAAGTAACAGCAAACACGGGGCATTCTTTTATTTCACCCTCATAGTAAGAAGCAGCAGCTAATATTGTCATCAGGAACTGAGAAGAATCTGGGGTTTTCCTCTTTCCAGGTAACAAGTCAGCCTACATGTAGATGCTGACAGAAGATACGAGACTCTGGGTGAGAAGCAAAGAATGTTACTGCTCCTGTTCAGAACAGTTTCCTCTGCCCACCCCCCCCCACCAAGTCCCACAGGGGTGATACAGGTGGGTGCATTGTGGACCAGTGTCACAGCAGGGGAACCCCCATCTCACAGCAAGACCACTGACAAACCTGCCCAAGCTTTGCCTGGGAGGAACACACAATCTCTGTTATATTGGACAGGAAACAAATCTGCCCTTTTCACTGGAGGAAGATGCTCAACCTTCCAAGCCTATTTGCTTTACAAATGTACCTGAAAAATTGGTCCACAGTGAAAGGTACTCACAAGAGCTATAAAAACATGAGCGACCCATGGGTAATTATCTTCCATTTAGCAGATGAGGAAATTGAGGCAGTGAAACCTTGGGTCGTTGCCTAAAGTCACACAAGACTTTAAAGCTAGTAAAGAGAGGAACAGGGATGTGTGATTACCTGTCTTCCCCTCCTAGAACAAAGTACTATAAGCTAGAGACTTATTTTGGCAAACTGCCACATGCCCAGAGCCCAGGAAAATGTTTGGCATTTAACTTAATATCCTAGAAATGATACAAAATGAATGAAAAACTACCTGTGAGTGCTCAATAGAGCAGAGTAAGGACGGTTCCTTC